CTAACATACTTTGGACATGTTGTGAGGAGAGACCGGTCCTTGGAGAAGGACATCATGCTTGGGAGGGTGGAGGGACAGCGCAGGAGGGGAAGGCCCTCTGTGAGGTGGATTGATTCAGTGACTGGGATAATCGGATGCGAGTGTCAGAGACAGTGCGATTGGCACAGGACAGAGCAGAGTTTAGGGCTGTTGTACATAGGGTCGCTATGAATCGCAAGCGACTTGATGGCACATAACAACAACATCTATGTTAATTTAGGTAGGCAGTGAGTTTCTAAGTATTTGTGCATTTCCTCTAGGTTTTCAATTTGTTGAAGTGCAGTTCTTATATTTTGTTATCCTTTTTATTTTAGTTGGTACTATTGTGATATCACACATTTTATTTCTTATTCGTGTCTTTTCATTTGTTAAATTTGCAATGGGCTTGTCAATTTTATTAATATTTTCGTGTGTGTGTGTGTGTGTGTGTGTGTACACCATCAAATCAGATCTGACTGATAACAGGAGGAGATTGTCCCTCCTTCTCCAGCAGAGCATCTGGTGGATTTGAACCTTGTACCTCTGGTATTATAGTACAGCTTCTTGCCACTAAGCCACCAGAGCTCACCTAGTAATCTTTTCAAAGATTCATTTTTATTGATCTTCTAGTGGTGAGGCTTCCTCTCGTTTTTCTGTTTTCTATGTCAATTGCTCCTGCTCTTTATTATTTCCTTTCTTCTGGTGATGGTGTGCTTTGCTTTCTGTTCCATGTGGTTTCTTGACTGCTGCTTCCACAGACATTGATTGTGAGTCCAAGTAGAATGAAATCCTTAGTGACGTCAGCCTTTCTGCCATTTACGGGGGCCTTGCCTGTTGGTTGTAGTAGGGGAAGGGCCGCCGTCACGAGGACTTGCACGGGGAGTTTTCAGTGGATGTGTGGCATGATCTTGCTTACATTTTAGAAGGAGACTTTTGCCTGTTGTGTTGATGGTGAACTATAGGAGAGCATCAGTGGAAGCAAGTAGAAGCCATGTAAGCTGTTAGAAGGCTATTATGTAATCCTGGCAAGAAATGATGCCATTTTATTTTAAATTGAAAGTTAAGCCAATAGGATTTGTCAAGTGTGAGAAAGGAGAAGCATGAAAAGACTGGATTTGGACAACTGACTGCATCTTTGAACTTGGCTGTTAAATTTGAGGTGCTGAGTTAACATCCAAGTGGATGTACCGGGTATTAGAAATGGAACTCAGAGGACTGGTCTGGTCTCATGATGTACGTTTAGACAGCTACTTAAAACCCTAAGCCTTATCCAGATCATCAAGATGCTAAGTGTAGATAAACAATAGAGGAGGGCCAGGCACTGAACCATGGACCTTTCCAGCACTTAGAGGTCTGGGAGATGGAGATGAACAAGCACAGGAGATAGAGAACTTCGCAAGAGGTAGGAAATCAAATAGGGTTTGGTTTTAATATGTCTAGTGGAGAGGGAAAGTGACAGGGTCCAGTGCTGCCGTTGTAATAGGTCAATTTGGACAATAACTAAGGATCATTTGCTGACTTTAACAATGTGGAGTTGATTGGTAACCTTGACAAGGGCGGTTGCCATGAAGTAGTAGGAGCTCAAGTCTGATTGAAGTGCGTTGGAGGGAGAAGGGATGAAGAAGTCAGGAAGAAACAACAGGTGTAGACAGTTCCTGCACTGCACTCTGCTGTGTGGGCACTAGAGAGCGTGGAGGACCTTAGGTTCAGGAGGTTTTGTTGGTCTGGGGCTGGGAGGTAACAGCCTGTTTGTGTGTCGATGGGAATCTGCAGGACGGAAGAGTGATAGCTGTTCTGGGGCAGGAGCATTCTGACGAGCTGTCCTTGAGAGCACAGGCAGGCCACCATCCTACCAGGATGTGGGCACAGATGCCTGATGGTGGGAGTGGGTGGAAATGCTGATTGCTTCTATTGCTCTTTGAAGGTCAGCAGCTGGCAGGCAGGAGCTGGAGCTTTAAGGAGACAAAAGGAGGTTTAAGTAGTCATCTGTGAGATCAGGAAAGCTAATGAGGGAGGGCAGTGCATGAAGGTTGCGCAGCCAAGAGTCCACTTGATGTGAGGAATCATTACAGTAGAGCCTTGACCTCAGTCAGAGGTGGTTTTACCTGCGCACCTCCTGTCCCAGGGACTTTTATCCATGTCTGTGGTTGTCACAAAGAACCTTTATGGTATAGTGCATGTTTTGACTTGTAACCAAAAGTTCAGTAGTTCAAATCCACTAGCTCCTCCTTGGAAGAAAGATGGGTAGTCTCTTCCCATAAAGATTTCCAGCCTCAGAAGCTTGATGAGAGTCTCTGTGAGTCAGAGCCAACTCAGTGTCAGTGGATGATTGAGTGAGACAATTTAGTGGGGTGGGAGAGGAGGGGGCTACAGGCCTCTGGTGGGTGGACACCAGGGATGCCGCTCTGCAGCTTGTATTACACAAAAATTCACCCACCCCACAGCAGAGAATCACCCAGCCAGGATGTCGGCAGAACTGAGGTTGAGAAGCCCCAGATGGCTGCCAGTGAGCATAACTGTGTTGTTCTGTAGCCACTGTGTGGGGGCCAGTTGATGTTCAGAGTGGCCAAGGCAGATCCAGGGAGAGAGGTTTACCAGGTGACTGCAGTGAGTGAGAGCGGGCAGAGAGTGGAAGGCTATGAGGATTGACTGTAGCGTCTCCTCTCAGTGAGGAGGGTGGTGAGGACACAGGGGTGTGAGGGATGGTGAAAAGGCTAGAACTCCCCCAGCCTCACTGGAACAGAAGTGACGCCGTCTGCTCTGTAAGATTACAGCCGTGGAAACCTTAGGAGTCGGTTCTGTTCTGTCCTATAAGGTCACTACGATTCAAAATCAACTCGATGGCAGTAGGTCTCAAGTTTGAGTTTACCTTTTTTTTTTTTTTTTTTTTTTTTTAAATTTTACTCTGTGTGTGTGTGTACTGTCAAATCGGATCTGACTGCTACTGAAGGAGAATGCCCCTCCTTCTCCAGCAGAGCATCTGGTGGATTTGAACCATGTACCTCTGGGGATTGCAGTGCAACTTCTTGGCATTGGGACACCAGAACTCCCCTTTCTTCTTTTCTTAAATTATTAAGTGATCCAAGAGCTCTAATCTTTGCATTTTTCTGTGTTTATTTATAAAATTTACAAATTGTCTTGTAGTAATTGGGAAATGTGCTGAAGATGAGCAGAGCCTTCTCTGTCACCATCATCAGCCAAGTTCAGGCTGGGTCCGTTGTGGCTGGATTTGCCCAGGCATCTGAGCATTCTCCTGCGTGAAGTGCGTGAGCAAGGTCAGGCTTCCTCTGCGGAGGGAGAAGAGCAGGTGCTTCGAGCATCCTCACTGTCAGAACGGATGCAGTAGCTGCTGGCCCTGGCTGTTTCAGGAGGCCCTGATGCTGTGTGGTCAAGCCCTCAGCTGCTAATCAAAAGGTCAGCTGCTCTGCAAGAACAAGATGTGGAAGTCCACCTCTGTAAAGACGCAGCCGTGGAAGCTGCTGGCAGTGCTGCTCAGCCCTCTGAGGTCACAGAGGTCAGAATGACACATCGTGAATGCATTTGGGTCTTTAACTTCGTTTCCTTCCCCGCGTCAGGATGGGTGTGAAGAAGCTGCGGATCTCTTGTTCATAGGGTTGTTATAAGTCATTGTCGACTCGATGACACCTAACAACAACAGGTGAAGCCAGAAAGCAAATGAAGCTGAGGTGAACTTGATCCTGCATCTAGGCCTGTGTCCTCAGCCTAGAGCTCGGCAGTTCACCTGCCTGTTGTCGTCAGAGTTGCTTCCAGCAACCCTAAACAGAGTATGACTATCCCTTTGCTTTTCCAAGGCTGCAGGTAATCTTTCTCCCAAGGAGTTCCTGGTGCGTTTGAACCACCAGTCTTTGGATTACTAGGTGGAAGTTTTAATCCCTGTTTCACCAGAGCTTCTTCAGATTCACCCAGAGAATTTAAAAAAAAAAAGATTCTCTGACCCTCTCCAAAAGTCTGGTGTGGAGCTGAAGTCCCTAGATGGCAGCATGGGTGATAGTGATATTCCTTAGAAACACCGATCCTGATAGAAGGGAGAGATCAGTGGGCCATATCTGGCTGGTTGCCAGTAATTAAAGTTTGATTCACACAAGGCCACACCCGTCTTTGGCTGTTTAGGCAGAGTTGAGTGGTTAGGACAGAAACCATAGGGCCCCAAAGCCTAAAATATTTGCTCTCTGGTAGTCCTGATACACTGTGAGAAGGGACCCAGGGAGGAGGGGCATGTAAATGAATTTTTCCCCCCAAAGCAGAAAGCCACAATCTGAAACCAAGAAGTCACAAAATGACTACACAGGCATAATACTTGGAGGCACGGTGGCAGCGTCCCAGAGGGATGCAGAGGAGGCAGCTGGCTGGGCCTCAGTGAGCAACAGCAGAAGGACACTGCTGCTGTTAGGAGTTCCCCGTTGTTGTCATCGTCTTAACCATATGATGTATTTCTCTGATCAAAATTAAAGGCAGGGCCATTTTAAACAGTTTTTGTTTTCTCTTACTTGCAGCATTTACCCTCCAGTTCCAGGACAGGAGAGCTCTTTGAGGTGGGCAGGAAAAAAATTTGAGGAGATCCCAATTGCGCACATTAAGGCATCTTACAACAAGTAAGCAGATGGTGCCTTCCTGGATGGGTGGGCTGGGCCGGGGCTCTGTCACCTTCATGGGGCAGAGTGGACTTGGAGGGTCAAGGCTGAATGTGTTGATGTTAATTTTGAGAATCCCAAGCTCACTTCCATCTTCTTTTTACAGTTCTACTTCCATAAAAATGTGAAATAGATTGAACGTGGCATATTGATAAGAGGGGTTTGCTTTTTTCTGTTTTCCCAAGAATATTTTCTGGTTCTGCTCAAGAGATAGTGAGGTTGTATCTTGGTGTCAGAAGGTCCCACCATGGTGTTTGTTGAGTCTAGGGGTGTGTGGGTAGGGGTGGGTGTATAATAAGATTGAAAAGGAGCTATGACTTGCCACAGACAGCCAGAATAGAAACCTCAGAGTGTATGACCCTTGGATGTCCTCATCCTGGGTCACTCTGCCGTGGCTTCTGTTTTGTAGGGCTGATGAATGGCATGAATGAGCGAGGCCTGGTGCTCACGGGGCTGCCATCTGGGTGCCAGAAGAGCTCCCCGAGTTGTACATCAGCTGTGGAAGCATGGTGACTTCTGTGCATGTCAGCCCCGCAAGTGAAGACATCAGCCTTTGGTCCCCTCAGAGAGTTCTGTGAGGCCTTTAGGACTGGGTGGTAATGGACCCGAGTGTCTGACAGGGCTGAGGTGCTGCAGAGAGTTAAGGATCAGCCATCAGATGAGCTCCCTGGGAAGGCAGCCGACTTCTGCCTCCACGCTCAAGCGGATGAAGAAATGGGTTAGTTCTCTTTACCCCGTGAACATAACTGTATTCTGTATGTATCCTCCCCCTGCCCTCATCTGTTCCAGCACCCAGATCCAGGTCGTCTCTGCCACAAACCAGCCACTAGCCCGTGCTTCCTGCGGCACAGAGGGGTTCCGGAATGCCAAGAAGGGCACGGGCATCGCAGCACAGACCACGGGCATCGTCGCAGCCTCGGTAAGTGCCCCTCCCAGCCCCTCCCTGCTGAGTTCTGTTTTCTGTATGGCCTGTCAGCGTTAGAGGCAAGGAGACATTTGTGTAATATGAAGAGGTCTGTGTGAAAAGGCTTCTCTTTTTCTCTCAACTTCTTCAGAGATGGCACATGTATAGTTCATTTGTGTTCATTCAAGAGCTAGGAGGGCCAGCACACTGAAGGCTTAAGGCCCAGGATGCTGGGAGTGGATGTCCTATGGTGAAGACTATCATGTTGCCAGTGTGAGTGGGAACTGTTAGTGACTTCTCCAGAAGCCAGTTGACGGTGTGCTGCTACTTGGTGTACTTACTTAGCACCTGCTGTGTGCCAGATGTCTTATTGGTTATCCTTCCTGGATCATTCAACATTATACCCAAACTTTAAGTATTGCCACCCGTGGCTTGAATTTGTTTTTCAACTCTTTCAGCTTAAGAAACGCTGAGTAAGTCCGGCCCTTTTGATTTGCTGACTCTAGCTCTCTGCTCATTTCATTATAGTATCTTGCTTTGTCGTCTCTAGCTGCCTTCTGAAATTTTCTGTTCAGCTCCTCAGAAAGAAGGTCCATAGTCTTAACCCACATTTTCACAGGTTCTTCCAATGACAAGTGCGTGCTAGGTTATAAGTGAAATTTTTATGGTTACTGTAAAGATTAACATTGGTGACTGAGTATTTGGGCTCAGTTTTGAGGTCCAGGATACCCTGTAACCTGGAATTCTGCGTCTTTTCGCTGGGATGAACTTGAGCAGTGTTGAGAGTTCTCCACTAGATGGCAGTGCTGTTGTGTCAGAGGGCTCACTGCTGATAACTGGTGCCCTTGAGTCAGTTCAGCCCCGAGGAGACCCATGTCTGTCAGAACCGCACTCCACAGCGTTTTTATCACTGATTTTCACCAGTCTATCACCATGCCTTTTCCTAGCAGTCCATGGTATTCTCAATACTCTTCTCCAGCACCACGGCTCCTTGGAGGCAAGGATTCTGAGGCTCCATCTAACATACTTTGGACATGTTGTGAGGAGAGACGGGTCCTTAGAGAGGGACATCATGCTTGGGAGGGTGGAGGGACGGCGCAGGAGAGGAAGGCCCTCTATGAGGTGGATTGATTCAGTGACTGGGATGGAAGTGTCAGAGACAGTGTGATTGGCACAGGACAGAGCGGAGTTTAGGGCTGTTGTACATAGGGTCGCTGTGAGTCGCAGGCAACTCGACGGCACATAACAACAACATCACCATGCCTCTTCTGAGACACCTCAGAGTGGGCTCGCACCTCTAACCTTTTGGTCAGTAGCCAAGTTTGTTGGCCATTTGTATTACCCCTAGTGCATTCATGCTCTGACTGCCCACTTGCTGTGATATCTGTTCTCTACTGTGGCCACTGCCCTCTGCTTTTCTCTCTTCTGCTTGTCTGTCTGTCTGTGTGTCTCTACATGAATGTACATACCATTTCTCGGAGCCTGTAGCCCTTAAATCCAGGCGGTGGTAGCAGGACATGTGGATCTCCGTAGGTCTCTCCAGACACTAACTGCTACATCTCTAACTGCTACTTCTCTCTAGAAAGCGACCGGGAAGGGAGTGACCCACGTCCGAGTGGTGGTGAAGGGCCTGGGGCCAGGGCGAGCGGTGAGTAGCTGACTGTCCACAGTGTGCTTGTGTTCTTCCTTAATTTAGGGAGAAGCAGGTTTGAGAGCAGAGAGGGGGAAGCGCACAGTAGAGGTTGTCACGCTGGCCTGGAGTTCACTCCTGTTGTTCCTATAGCCTCTCAGTGTCGAGAGGAGACCCAGGTCACTTCCTTCCAGCCCACAGACATTCATCAGGTGCCTGCGTACAGGCCAGCCCAGATGGGCCCCTGCGTACAGGACAGCCCCGGCATTACTCACTACGCACGGAGGTGTGCGAGCCTAAGGGGAGTGGGCAGGGGCTTCCCCAGAAAGGTACCATCTGGCATGTCATAATAATAGGTTATTGCCAGGTGGGGTGGGGGGGTTGTTCCAGGCAGAGGGAACTGTGTGTTTTTGTTTGTTACAATCAAGTTGATTCTAACACACACACACACACACGCCTTGCATGTGCAGAGGAGACATGCTCTCGGTGGCTCTGACCTTTTGTCCATTTATCTGAGGTAGCTCTGGGTAGGTTTGAGGTGCCAGCCGTTCAGCTAGTGGTGAGCACGGAGTTCTGCAGAAGTGGGAGGCTTCCTGTGCGCCAGGGCCACAGTGATCGTGGCACCTGGATTGTGAGGCACAAGGTGGATGGGGGCACATTCGCACAGAGTGGAGAGGTAGGCAGCATTGGGCTATCAGATTAGGGGAGACCACTGTAAGTGTGGGGAGCAGGACGAGGATTGCTGCTCCTAAAGCCCTCGAACCGCCCAGGCCCCAGCCCTCCTCATCCTCATTCCTCCCCACCCCCACCCCACATCTGTCCCCAGGCTGCCATCAAGGGGCTGACCATGGGGGGCCTCGAGGTGATCTCCATCACAGACAACACCCCCATCCCACACAACGGCTGCCGCCCCCGGAAGGCCCGACGGCTGTGAAGGAAAAGAGTGAGAAGCGGACCGCAGATCTTACAGCTGGAGTAACCTTGAAGGCCTTGTCAGAGTGCCTCCAGCAGAGAACTTGTGAGAACAAGGCCAGGCAGCAAGGAGAGAGCTTTGCCTGCTTACATGGTGGGCTCCTGGGCACCTCCCACTGGAAATGAGTGCCCTCGCCGTGAGGCCAGGCCTCTCAAGGACAGGACAGGGCGCTGCAGGCACAGCTGTGCCCAGATTCCTGCTCCACAAATAAAGAAATAGTCCAGTACCTCTAGTAACCTGTGTCTTTTGCTTTCTGAGTTGAGAACAGAAATCTTTCACTTTCTCCTGAAGAAGAGATTGTGGACCGTGGACAGGTGAAGTGCTCGGCTGGACTGCTGCTTCCCTGGCGCCTTCCTCTTCAGTGTCGTTAATAGTTCTTAAACCAAGGTTTACAGAGCTCAGCAGAGCAACTTCTGTTGCTTGTAGTTTGGCCACAAGTTGCGATTGGTTCCCTGCCCCTCCCACCCACCCCCCCCCCCAACCCCCGCCGCCTTTAGTATCCTCTGGCATTTGTGTCGCCGCTGGTAGGTGCATTTCATTACCCCCAACACTGCAGGATTCTCCAGTTCTGACTCCCTCCACAGCATGGCCTCCATCCTCAGACACTCCGTGGTGGTCAGCATTTCCAGCACACAAGCTTGGGTGACTATAAACTAGAGAGGGTAGATTTGTATGAACAGATGATCATCTGGGAAGTGGGTAGGTGGAGGGATGGGCTCGAGGGCAGCCCTAAGATCAGCTTAGTGTGTAACAGTGTAGAATTTGTCTCTGAAAGAGAAAGAAGTACAGAAAAGAAAGCAGGGTCTAAAGCACCCAGAAAGTACGAACCACAGGTGGGTTTAACCCAGGACAACCCCCCTGCTCCACACTAACCACTCTGAAGACCCTGGGGTCCTGGAAGATCTTAGCGGCATTTTAGGGCCAAAGCTCTTGAGATGAGGCAGGAAAAACCCCAGCCAGCCAGCCCAAAGGGAGCACCCTCAGAGGGCAGAGGGCTGGGTGTTTACAAAAATGCCCATCCTCACAGGCCAGGCTCGGAGGGAGGGCCTGCTGGTCATAGGAAGGAGGTGACAGAGTTTCCTTCTGTGCCAGCCAGCTAAGCAGTGTGACTTGGCAGAACTTGGTCAGCTCTGAGTGAGTGGCCTGGTGGTAAGACATTGCGCTGCCAGCACACAGTCTCTGGCTGCTCTGCGGGACTAAGACTCCTTTCGTGCAGTTCACTACCTCTGAAAACTGCAGGGTCAGCTAGGAGTTTGTTCTGACTCAATGGTACACAACAACTGTAGAATTAAATCCATAAATGCCCTCAAATAGGAAAAAGACTGTTAGGGAACATGAGAAATTACTTGTGAGCCCCTTTTTGACTTTTGAAGGAAAAAGCATCTTTCCATACAGTTTTCTCTTTCTTCTGAGTACCACCAGTGACGGTTAACCTCACACCAGTGACTTGCAGCTGCTAACAACTGCCTGTGTTAAGACCACTGTCTAGGAGGTAAGAATCCATCCCCGCAAACTCCATGTAAACCCCTGCCGCTGAGTTCCGTCTACACACTTGTTATGTGCCTTCAAGGTGGAACTTAGTTGACCCTCAGGTAGATTTCAGAGGCAGTAAACTACACAGTAGGGGATTTGGCCCTCTTTTTCCCAAGGAGGAGCTGGTAGATTAGAACAAGTGCCTCTGGGTTGGCAGTGCAGCACCTTACCACTAAGGTACAGAGCTTCTTCCCTGTGAACGAGAAATGCCTGGTCGCCGCTCACCTCTCCTGCAGATCAACTGGTGGGAACTCACAACCAATTCCTTGGCTACTGTGCCGTCCAGGATCCTTCCTTGTCAACAGTAACATCCAGGATCTTGAGAATTGCTCCTATGGTTTGATAACTATAAGCTCTTGCAGAACCTTGTCCTTTATTTGAGGGGACAGAGCGTTGGAAGACGTGTCAGGGTTTGGGCAGAAAGCAAGCAGCACATAGGGTTTAAGAGACGTTTATAGCAGGAAGCTATTCCCACCCCAGGTCTGAAGGGGCAGGAGAAGGAACAGTTCTCCCACCTTGATGAGCGGCAGCCACGGACGACAGGGCACATGACGGGCTGCAGCCACAGAAGGTGGCCTCTGCCATGAGCAGGGCTTGCAGGAGAAGAACTGGCTTTGCCGACCCTGGCTCCTACCCTCCGATTATTCACTATGTACCTACTTGTTGATCCCAGCAGGAAGCCAGAAGGCCCAGTCCTCAAGGCAGTGGTCAAAAAGAATAAAAGTAAAAAAAAGAAGGCAGTGATCCTGAGAGGTCAGCCTCTGGACCATAGAAGACAGCGGATCCCAGGGGGCTGGAGAGCACAGGCAGCTTCTGTCTCCTGTAAGTGAAATCCATAAACTAGTTCTAGAAATTGCTGCTTTATTCACAAGACGGCTTTGTAGAAGATCCGACACAGGAGCACAGGGAGGGCCCTGAAGGAGAATAGCTGGCTGGCAAAAGCCCAAGGGGTGAGCCATCATTTCTGTGACACTTTGGGGAGTGGACACTGACCTACCTACCTAGTCATGAGCTTTCGCTGTTTCCAGTAGAGCATGGTGTTTGGAGCTATCACTTCATCTTTTTTGCCACCAGACTATTTTTAATGCAGTATTTTTTGCCCTGTCAATTTTGGGGGTGGAGGTAACAGTTTTTTTCTTTTATTTTTTTTTATTTTTTTTTTGGTTGAGAAGTCAAAGGATTTTTTTAATTACTTAATTATTTTGTTTGTTTACAAAATTTGAATACAGTTCCATTTTTTAAAATTAATCTCGCCTCTTTATCTTAATCACTGGTCATAGCCTCAAATGCTGATCCCCGCCTCATGCTGGGTCGAGGAAGGCACCACTGTCCTAGTTTCTTAGTGTTGCTGTAAGTGACCAGTTAGTTCTAAAGAACAGGAGTCCGTATTCTGCAGTGAGGAGGCTGAGTCGGAATTCAGGGCTTTGGCCCTGGGAAGGTCCTGTGCCAGCTTCTGTCACCCTGGTGCTTCTTGGTTCCTTGGTAACCCCACGTGGCAGATCTTCTTGACAGGCTCCCTTCTGTGTCTTTGCTGTTCTTACACCACAGACCACTCAGATGTGGTTAGATTTGTAGGACTCCATGTGTTAATACAGGCACATTAACAACAAAACCCTCTTCCCAGACGTGATTACATCCTAAGGTTGAGTCAGCATTAGGAGTCTAACACTTGTTTGGGGAAGGCACAGTTCAAACATACAAAGAACCTTCATGGGAGACTGGCCAGTGAAGTCAGTTACCATTTCTTTGAGATGCTAGGACCTCTCATCAGAGGGTCTCGGTTCTGAGAACACGTAGGCTGTGTGTTTACCTCGCCTGCCTCCCTACGGGCTTCTTTATTCTTTCCTCTTCGTTTTGTTTTGTTTTTTTTAATTTAGGAGAGGCTCGCCAAGCAGTGCTTTGGCATCAGCCCCTGCAGTGTGGCTCCTTGTTTCCAGGGAGCAGGGCCTCAGTGGATTTCTGCGAGGACATTGGCACTTTTGTTCTACCAGCGTGCAGGACCGACCAAGTAAGGGAAACTGGTCTTCTGTGCAGGTGAAAAAGCAGAGGCAATTTCTGCCCTTTCAACATAGACACAGTTTCTGGCCTTCCGAGGCTCGCAGGCACCTGTTTAACAGCTGTCTGGCGGCTCACGGAATACCATGCAGCGTCGTCGTCATGTGTTGTCAAGTCAGAACCAATTCATCCTGTCTTAAAGGAAACATTTCCAGTGCACTTCTGCCTGCCTCCTAGTTCTGACATGTCTGTTACAGATTGAATTGTGTCCTCCAAAAATACACACATTTAAACCCCAACCCTGTGTGGTCAGGCCAAAGTAGGGTAGATTCTGAACTTAATATTTTCCAAGTTATAACAGGAGAAGACGAGACTCAAGTGGAGACAGAGGTCAAAGTAGCTCCCAGGACCACTGACAAGAATGGACCTTCCTCACATCCAAGCCCTGAATTTGGACTTGGAGCTCCAAAACTGTGAGAAGCTACATTAAAGCTACTGTATTGTGATACTTCTGTTACAGTACCAGGAGGTAACTAAGACATCCATTAAAAGCATGTATGTGCCTCCTGCTTCCCATCCAGGCTTTTTCATTCTCGTTTTACCTTCATGTTTTGTTTTTTGGAAGGCATGTTCCTTTTGTTTTTGTTTTATGGTAGTGAAAATACACATAAGTAAACATTCACCCTCTCAATTTCTACACATGCAATTCGTTAACAGTGATGGCATTCTTCAGATGGCACGTTGCTTTTTAAAATGTGGATATTACCATCCCAGAATGATGCACCCATCGCTACCAACACAGAAATTGTCCATTGAGATTAGGCAAAGATAATTTCAGAAACACAGGCTGGGCACCAGGGCTGCAGAGACTGTGAACCGTTACATCTGTCGTAGAGCTCACAGCCTAGGGCAGCTGGGTCAGTCGGATGAGGCTTCAGAGGAGAGGCCACCTGTCCCTGGTGTTCCAGTGGGACGAGAGCCTCCCTTGTTTATGGAGTGGAAGGGAAAGTTTGGTGGAGGAGGCAGCACACAAGGTAACCAAAAAAGCGAATGAGGGTCTCCAGTCCCAGAAAATGACAAAGCTGCTTGATCCAAGGTTAAGGGAGCGGGGGAGTCGGGTTGCTGGTTAGAGTTTTGTTGACATCATGAGTCATGGGCTTCACTCTAGATAGGAAGAGCGATGGAGGTAAAAGCTTATTGCTAATAAAGGGTCACAAAACTTGCGATTACATACATCGAGGATGCTAGGTCCTGCAGACCTGATGGGGGAAAAGAGGTAGAAGTGTAGGAGGCTCTAGTCAGAAAGGAATTTCAGAGGCAGAGATTTTACAGGAGGTGAAGCCGAGGTATGCACATGTCTGAAATGAAATGGGACCAAAAAATCACTGACATTGAAATTTAAGTACCTGAAATGTGGACAAAGAAAGTCATTG